TATTTGTATACCAGTTTAAGAATATCTGAAAAATATGAAATGCATCTCACTGATGGCCAAGTAGAAGAAGTTTCTCCATTGTCTCCACATGGCTGAGACACAGAAGCTGTGTAAAATGAGTCATCAGTGACAGAAACTTAAGTTAATATATTTGGTCCATGCAAAAGCTTCACATTATATTTTATTCTTAAACCTCATTTTTAGATTAAAAAAAATGCATCTGTAATGTCACTTTTGGTGCAGATTATTTTATTTAACAGTAAATATAATCATTTTAGATTTGTTCTGTAATTAACAGCAACTTTGAGCTGTGTCATATGACCTTTTATTTAAACAAGCACAAAGCAAATCAAAGAAAAAAGTATCATTTGGTGTCTGCATGAAATGATGTGATGTTCATAAACTGTTCTTTTATGTCTAGAATTGAGAATTTTTTCAAATAATTGTTTTTTTTTTACACAGCAGGTAACTTGTTGTGAACATACAATTTGTCTATATGGTATATTGTTTTTAAGGGCTTTTAATTTGCATGAACATGACACAAGTAGTTAACAGCTGACGTTTAATTTTATGGTCATCCAGATGTAATAAAAATAAATTGCTACTCTTACCAGTTCTGTAATCCACAGCAGTTAGAAAATGAAGAGTATTGCTTGCTAGTTGCAGTTCTCTGGAGACGTCTGAAGGCTGAAGTCTCAAGCAGATGTGATGTCGTATGCTGAGAAACCACAGTTATGTAAATTAAGACACTGGGTTGATATTACAAAATAACCACAGGAACCTCAGTGTTTTCTGACATTTTCTCACACTGAAAACACTTCAAATTGCACCATGAAACTCTCAATCTCCAAGTCCCTCAGGACTATACTGTTACTATACTGTCCTTTCAATGAAACAGGGAAATATATTTTCCCCAACAACATTTTCACATATAAGACATCTGAATACAAGCTACAAAAAAGTTGCTTGGATCACTGTGAAACTTACACAGCAAACATGGTGGTTAAGTCCAGATGTACACATAAAATAATAAGCAGAAATATACACAACTTTCCAAGTTCAAATTTACAAAAAAAATAGTTTTCATGCATGCATGAAACACATCAGCAGTGTTGCAACATTTGGTCAGTGGTTTTAGACACTTTTTAAAAATTTTTTTATTCTGTCATCAAAAAGTAGCACTGAGGCTGGAACAAACTGTTAGTGGTTAAAAACTCTCAGGTTGGCGTGTGAAGTGTTTAGTTTGTGCAGTACCCACATAATATGTCTCTTTATCTCTGCTGATGTGACTTCTGCTGTGAATCTTTTTATTTCATTGCACTAATCTTTGCAAACAGAGAAGAACAATTTTGAGTTTGAGCTGGACATATTAACGTTGTCCTTGTCCTCAAAATTGTCTTTCAAATATTCTGCAGCAGATTGCAGAATCACAGTAAAGCATACTGGGATATGGTTATGACATTTGACACAATCATTTGCAATCATGGCAAATGCAATCATTTTAAGACCTTAAAACACTGAGCTGTCCTCAACACTGACACTATGGAGAGTTTAAAAGTATTTGACTTATAAAAATCAGACCATACCTGATTTAAAGTTCACCCAGATTCCTGTCACCTGTAAAGTTTCTCTAAATAAACGGTTCCAAATGCAGGATGTGACAACTGGTAGAAGTTTAAGGATTTTTTGAGGGAAGTTAAAAAATTGTGCAACCAGTAAACGAAGTAAAATTTGCAGAGGTCGGTATCCAATTGTAATTGGGGAGGATGGG